GGACCATGTCGAGACGTGTAAACACAGCGATTCGTGTCAGAAAGACCGTTTCAGCCACTTGTACCGTGGATCGAAGCTTTCAAAAGTCATGACATACGACTTATGGCCGCAGGCGAGCATCAAGACGACGATCGACTTGAACGCAGAGAGCTTAATCTTCAAACTCTGCTTTATTCAGAATTGTTTGGTCTAGTTCACGCAGAATGTTTTCGCCAGTTCATGTCTTCCTCCCATTTTCATCACAAGTTAATACGAATCAGAGGTACATGAATTTATCTACCTGTTGCACTGCTTTTCCAGTTATCTGTAGAGAGGAACGGGCAGGAAGTCGAAAAGGCGTTAAGCTCCAAATGACACTTGGCTTCGAACATTTCCAGAGGTCGCAGTATGTTAGTTTTAGACGATGCCAACAAAACAAGGTCGTCTGCAAACAGCAACCTCCCCGACTTCACATCTCCTACACCGATACCCTCATCGCCTTGGCAGCTCCTCACTATTCTATCCATGTACAACACAGACAGGAGTTGGGGGGGAGGAATGCGCAGCCCTGTCGGAGACCAGTGTCTACGTTGAAGGGTTTCGATTTAACGCCATTTACTCTGACGCAGTACTTGCAATCAACCCTAAGTGACTGAATGGCTCGTAGCCATTGACCATCGATTCTATGTTTGCAAGGACGACCATAGATTGCTGCTCGGGATCCGAGATATCCCTTCGCCAGGGCAACGAATTCTCAGCAGTCTCGCTTCAGACGAAAATCTGGCAAAAGCTGCTTCCGCCTAACCCTACGCTACGTCGCTGCTCTTTAATTTTAGAGTCAACTATTCCGCGGCGCTGCCTTTCAGACATCTTTGCGCAGACTTTTCCCAGGAGACTCGTTAAGGTAATGTTCCAATAATTGGAGCCCTCCCAAAGGCCCTCCTTCTTTAGTAATGGTACTGTCACCCTTGTTCTCCAGTTCACCGGTGTCTTCTCGATAGTCATGGCAGTTTGGCAGAAAAGCTTTAAATACAACATGGCCTGTTTGGCAATGGCCAGTCGCTTATCAAGACGGATTTCATCGATTCCAGCAGCAGTTCTACTTTTCAAGCTTTTCACAGCATCTATGACTACACCAACTGAGAGACTAATATTCGAGAGGGAGTTACTGCTATTGCTCGGGGTTAAGAAATTCCTCAAGACACTCCAGCCATCCACTAAATAAGTCAACTTTTGTGTTAACAAGGCCTTTGGAGGTGTCCTTCCATCTGTACGAAATGGCGGCGGATGATCTGTCAGGATCTTACGTACCTCTAGAAATTTGACGCCTGCACCTCATCGAAAATTTTCCAGGAACCAACTTTCTGAACGGATTAGCAGTCGCAGGGACAAACGTCGTCGTAAGAGGATTTCTTCTTGATCATCTGCTGTTTCAGATGATCTCCTCAAGTTCGCGTACTCCATGATGACCTCAGACGTGTACTTTATTTTTTCACTGTTCCATTAGACGAGGCCTGAATAAAATGCTGTCTGATCAAAATCGAATCCTCAGCACTCTTAAGAAACATCAGTCAATTCACTCACAACGTGATCATGCTCGAGAAGTAAGTATAGATACAGATGGGTAGCATTAACGAGTGATGGCAGGTAGAGCGTCAAAACAGACACACGGTCCCACAAAGCAGGCTGTAATGAGAAAGCTAAACCGATGAACTGAGAAGTTAGAAAAAGCTATTAGGCTTCAAGTTTGTATACGCATCTAACTGCATTCAGAATTATAAGTGCAGGGTATTGACCAAAATGGTCATATTCAGAATACAAGTCGTTGGAATGACGCAGCCTCTGATCATCATCTGTGTGACAATGCAGTCGGTAGTACTCTTGGTGGAGACCCGTTTCTCTCTAATAACGGAAGCTCCCAATTGCGAGACTTGTGCATGCCATCCGGATGTGAAGGCTAACATTCTTCATTAAAGGAGCAAAGCGAAAACCTAGTACCAATCATTTTGGGATAAGCACTAGACTTTGGCGTGCTTGGAACACAAGCCTCGGTATTCTACCGATTGATAAGAAATCGGTCCTCATTAAAGGACCCTCCAGAGGATGCTATGCAGATGAAACTTTAGGAACAGTAAATCTTGGAAATGTGTGAATTCGAACTGATCATAGCATTACACATGAGTTTATTAAGCTCATGATTTTCGACGCCCAAGGCCCTCTCTCCGTCTGTCTCTCTCTCGCTCTTAACTAGTGAACTGTTTGCATTTGAAAGAATAATTGAGCAGCTGCCCTTTGATCAGCGGTGATAAAAGACGCATATTTATTGTATTTCATATTCATATGATAGCGCTTGCTTCGACTGCGAGTTCCAGAAATGAAAATGTTTTGTTTTTGCTGATTTAATAATTAATTTCAGACAGGGTCAACTATCACGGTGTTTCCAGATACGACTTTACTCGTAGCTGTCCTTGCGGGAAGCAGACATTACAGTTTTGCATCAGTGCGTACATTCTAACTTAGCAAAGTCAATGCCACAAATAGAAAAAAAGTGGAACGCCTGGCTATTGTTCATTTTAGCCGGATTCATAATTACCGGATCCCTGAACACGATTTTTGCAAAGTATGGACATATTTATATCGTAAGAGGCGATTGTTGCTCAGTGCTATTTAGAGTCTACCCTTAATTATACTGTATGATGTGCTTCAATTAAGAAAACGATTAATATGTGTGCCCAGTAGCTAATGATGCGTATGCGATGGATTGTTTGCCCTATCTTAAACTTGTAATTTGTGGCGAATTATCAATGACAGTGTATGAGTGATAGGTTAGATATAACGATGCTGAACAAGCCGTATGAAAATTAATATTGTTTAGATGGAAATGTTGCAGTTATGAAAAACTGTTATTTCTCATCAACAGATTCATATCATTGAATATCTTACTTCATGAACAGAAAAGTTTGTATGGGGAAAACAGTTCGTCTTGATATTCAACAGTTTTACAAAACCGTGTCTCATTAAAAATTCACATATCGAGAGGATATTTATACTGTTTCCTGAAACGCGATTGGTTACCTTTTCATTCAAGCAATGGTCTATTCTTGTGATTAAACATCCATCTTTTTGCATTCTAACTTGTTCCTTCATGCAATCACATCATCTATCTGTATTGGTTAACTCACTGATTTATTCGTTTTATTAATTTCGAGATTTAATTCCATGCAGCGTTGTGAAGGTTGAAGTTCCTCGACAGCTCTGACGATGAGGGTACAAAGGTTGCATACATCCGTCAGTAATGAAAACACACACTGATCAACGACCCATGTTTTGAAGCAATTGACAGTTTCTGAGATAAGAACAACTTCAATCTTTTACAGGGCCATATTCAGCGCCATTTTTACTCTTCTACTGTGTCTGAAGGGTTGATTCTTTGTTGAGGAAATTGAGTTTGCCCGTTCGATGCAGTTTCGCAGCATCTCAAGTGCCTTCAACAGTCTCTAAGGTCACGTTTTTGTTATGAATATGATTTCTGTATTCTTCAGATTCACTTTCAAGTCCTCTTTGTTGTTAGCATCGTTTAACTCTCGGTTTCTTTGAGGCATTTTCTACAGGTTTTATGAGGATCAGAATGTCAGAGACAGAGCACTAGAATTTAAGTGCAGGCATTCGACTGTCGGTCCCAGACTTTCTCTGTAAGGTGCATGGAAAGTTTTTTCTGAGGTTCTCGTGAATAACTTCGGTGGTAGTGCATCAGTCTTTGAAATCTGCTGATGATTTTGTCAACTGCTACATCAACTACTGCGTAATCAAGCACAATGTTTCAAATCATTTGCTTTCAGTGCTGAGTCTGAGTAAACGTTAAGCAACATAATTTACTGTTTTAATGTTGGAAGCTCTTGAAACTCTGACTTGCCATTCTCGGCACTGTTTCAGTCTTTCGAAACCTATTCAAAATCAGATGGCTGATTAAACCAAGTTTTCTTTATTGTCGATTTCATCTCACTGCAGGTCAGAAGAAAGAGTCATAAGTACAGACTGCTCCATTTAAGTACTGTAATTCAAATAGCAAAACATAAGTTTGCAAAACATCAAGAAGGCATATTTAACAATGCTATTTAAATAGTTTCTTTTTATACTTTAATCATATTTAAGGTGCACTGAAGATGCAACTAAAATAATTATATTTAGATGGGCCGACCAATCTGTAGCGCTTAATCGCGTCTTCCATCATCCGTTTGTTCAGGTATTCAACTGTTCGTAGATTTTTCAGGATTAACTATTAGGCAATTTTCAGAGCAATTGCATGTTCATCGGAGAGACATGTTGTCTAATCGTTTATATCCTCTTCACAAAGTTCCATCTACTCGAAAAATGTCGGAAAACTAAGCCAAGCGTTGAAGTAGAAGAGAGAATAAAACTAAATCCTTTTGTTTTCCTCGTTCCAACACTTTGTGATCTTGTGGCAACTTGCATTCAGTACACTGGGCTGACGATGACCAATGCTTCCAGTTATCAAATGCTAAGAGGTTTCATATTTTCAATAATGTAAAATGAAATTCAATAATAAACTTAAGGAGCTGTTATCATTTTCACTGGGCTGTTCTCTGTCGCGTTTCTACACAGAGTCATTCCTTGGTACAAATGGCTCGGAATGGTAATCGTAATTGCTGGTTTAGTGCTAGTTGGAGTCTCTGATTTCATTCAGAGCCAAGC